AAATCAGATCCATTAAATTCTAAGATTTGATTTACATTTCTAATTAAAATTGTTTTTGATCATACGTATAGATAATTATATAAAAATTCCAAAATTCTAAAATTTCAAATACATACAAAAACAATCATATGTAAATTTTAAATTTGTGAATATTAAAATTTTATATTTTAATTACATATATTCACCCTGCGCAAGGCGCGGGTCTTATCCTAGTATACAGTAATCGCAAGGCCAGCAATCTCCCACTCGCTTTAAATGAGATGTAAGGAAAAAAGAAGTTGAATGGCTTTTGTTTTGCCACGTGTAAACGAAGTAAACACGCGTCATCCGCATGGCTAATAAATGATAAAAATTTTAATTTTATTTACATATTTACTGGTTGGGTGAACATTAGTTTCATCTTCACTCCAAGAGAAGACTGTGTGGTCCGTAAGCCTTCCACTCCACCGCCCACAACTTATACTATCTCCGGTAAATTTCTTAAATTTACCTTCTTTGATTATTTTTAGACTTTTTTTTTAACAAAATTATCGGTTGAAATCAGTTACTCCCTTCCGTTTTTTTTAATTTTCACCATTTATCTTAGGGGTAAAAGTGAAAATGGAGAAAGAAGGGAGTAGCAGTAACACTCGAACTTTACCGCCAAAGACGGCGGAACAAGCAAATACAACCTACCTGGAGAGGTAACTAGTCTTTTTGGTACAGGGTCTAAATTTTACTTTATTAATTTTAAGAAATGAAATGGTTCGATTATACTGAAAGTAACAATATAAATGCTGGAGAGCAGGAGGAGGTTAGTGTCTGATCTTAACATCAATTGTTGGACTTTACTGGATCTGGCCAACAAAGCATCAGCGGTTTTTTGGGGAGATGAGTATTTGCCGGTGAAAGTTGCATGTAAGAGACTTGAATTCTGTCTTGAGTATATCATCTTAAGAGAGATGCAATTGCTGCTATATTAATATGTCAGTTTTTCTTTTTGGGTAAAATGTTAATATTATACCATTTTTGATTTTTCACAAGCAGCGCAAGTTGAAGAAGCTAAATATCCTTGTCGAGAGGAAAGACGGTTTGAGAAGAAGTATGTCCGCCGGAAGAAAAGCAAGGAGGAGCACATGGAGTCTGATATGTGGCAGGCCCAACACCCTCCGGTTCTTTATCAGTATGCACGCAGGAAGGGAAAAACCCATGAGGGAACAAGCCGAACAGGAAGAGAGGATGTGGATGACACCATCTAGAAGCATGACGTGGAGAAGTAAATAGAATAAGGAATAATGGATTAGGTACAGGTCGTAGTATCTGTTGTAATGACTCACGTGGGATGTTGGCTAGTGAGTAAGGGTAATTGTAAAAGGGTATCAAATTTTGGTTTGATCACGTTTGCAAGCGAGGGAATTGAGAGACTCCATTTTGTTCTCTCTTGTAAACATATTCAGATCAATATAAAGTATTTGCATAGTTTGGTTGAGCTTCACAAGTTTGATACAGTACACGTCTCAGAGTCTACATCAACTTTAGATCCTGTCCAAAAAACATCACAATGAGAAGAAGGAATACAACGATGGTGAAACTAACTCAAAATTTGAGCAAGTAGAAGTAGTGGATGATGGACAAGGCCGTTGCAGTGGAATAAAAAGAGTTCAAGGGAGGGAGAATATAATCAGGATATTACCCCAAATAACAGCCAACGGTTTTCTAAAGAAGAACTGGGGTTTAAGTCTTAAGTGAAACAAGACGAGGAAAGGAACGAGCTTGTGACACACCATCGACAGTGATGCTGCTGATTCGAACCAAGCCGTATTGGGATCTGATGTTCCTGGTGAAGAGATGATTGTTTCTGAGTCTGAAGATTTTATTACTCTTTTTGAAGAAGCCGAGAAGGAGAAGGGTGTTGTTTCTAATGCATCTAGGTGCAACCAGTGGAGGAATTTTAAAACTCGACCTCGTACGTCCAGAGGGACAAGAAGACATGCTCAATGGAGCAACAAAAGGAAGAGAAACTGCATGACGTTTGAAGAAGCACATAGCAACCGGAAGATCTTTCTTCTCCCTGTTGGCCCAATTACACATCAATTGGGTCTTTTAGACGTTAGCATGGAGGAGAAGAGCTCTTACTACTAGTCCTCTTGTTCCATATTTTGTGTCAATCGTAACCTCTATCGAATTCTGATTATCCTCAAGTAATTCAACTTAATCTGATTTAATTTTCTTTGTTTTGGTGAACAAAAATGAAAAGTGCCACGGATGAGATGAAAATTTTATCTGTTTCTATCTTTGTGTCCCCAACTAAAAAGCTTTCTAGGTCCGCTCCTCATCTTAACTAGTCTCCAGACTATATATACTACTAAAAGATCGATATAAGAGACTAGATACAATCTAGTAATATTTTTGATGTTAATAAAATCCACTACTATCTAATATTCTTGGTGGAGTTATCTTTTTGATGCAAACAAAATCTAACATAGGTAACTGAAAATGAAAGGAAACAATATTCTGAAGTAGATGAAGTGACCAAATAAGTTTAACTACATATCACTTCCACGATCCAAAAAAGTGTACGAACTAAATTTATAACAAGTTAGTGTCTGATCTAAATTGTGAAGGAATCTAAATGAAAAAAATTAGAGCTTGGCACTGGCAACAAAATAAAATACAGGTAAGATAAAATGGGTTACAAACCTCACCACACATAGAAATCCATCTTTATGATCTTACAGGCCACTAAATAACAATTATCATCACACCCTCGAAATATATGTAACTCAATATAAGCCATAAAACAATCAACTTAAACAATCTAAATTAACTAAAGATTATATGATGATGTAATTGTTATTGAATATTAAAAAACAATCTAGATTCTTCTACCCAAAATCAAATGTATAAATGCAAACAAACAAAATTAATCAAAATTTTAATCTACTAAAAACAAAAGAATATTATGGTTGAATTTGAAGAAATAAATGTAATTTAATATATCCCAATAGTAATCAGATCGATCAGATATTCGTATTCAAAATATGTGTCTAATCAAATTAACATAATATTATTTAAAATAAACCATACTTATGAATACAAATAATTTCAAGTAAAATTTAAAATAATATTTTTATAATATTTGTATTCTATAAATATTTTTATCGGTGCATGACACGAAAAAATTACTTAGTATATATAAGTTTTGAATACATTTTTAGTATTTAATTCGATATTAAAGTAAATAGAACATGCACATGAATTTAGTTCTGTTAGAATAAATAAAAAGACAATCCAAATCATACATTGGATATTAGACAAAATATAGTCACATATATATATATATATATGTGTGTGTGTGTGGTCCAAGAGGGTTTAGATCTATAACAGACAATTTTGATACTAAACGAAATATTGGACAAATGACGGCGGACGTCTGGCTCTAACTGAACGTATGACTTCAAGCACAAGCATGAGTTCAACTTCTATCTTGGATTTGTAAATATATAATTTTATAAAATTTGATATGTATTATTTTGGAAACAATTAGGAAAGAGAAAACTTGAAATATTAGTTGGTTCGAAGCTGTATAAGCAAACTAAACTGGTGATTATTTAAAAGCTTATCAACCGTTTAATGGTTTAGAACATGATGGGACTAAAAATTGAGAAATTTGATTCTATCAGTTTGATCTTGTTCAATTCGAGTTATTAAGGTAGTCATAAATTTAATTTAATATTTGAATTGTTTATTTGATAATAAATTAGTCGTTAAGTAGATGGATTTTTTTAGAAAGTAAATTGACATCAGTGATTGGATTAAAATATTTAAAATTTAAATTGATAGATCTTCACAATAATTTGATCAATTTTTTATTTCGCTTGGAGTTATCGGTTTCATGTTTCTTTGAAAATTACTCGATGTTCCAAGGATTGTGGATTAGCCCGATTTTTGTTTTTGTTTTTAACATCTAATTTTATTGATTTCAAATCAATGTAACATATTGCATAGAAACATAAATTTCAACAAATATGTTGTTAAGAAAAACTTTTAATAGAGATAGCAATAACACGATGCTTTCTAACACATTTGTAGGACATGCTGATTCGCTAGCTATTCCCTACTTCGTTCGTGGTCTTGTAAGATCTTGTTTGTGGCTCTCAATTTTTGTAAGTAAATGCCTTTTTCGAAACAGATCAATGGATGTAATATTAGGATGGTTCAATTGGTTTAGTATACCAGTCCGGTTTAGGCTTATTTTATTCTTGGTTTAAGTTTCCGTTTGCTTAACCAACTATATATAGAAACAGTTGTACATTTTGTAAAGTTGAGCTGAATAACAAACTTTACGGTTATTTTCCATCGACTCTCTTCTTCTTCGTTGTTCATCTCCTCCATTAACGAAGCTTCGAGTTCTTTGATAACAAGCTGAGAATCAACTTCAATATGGTATCAGAGCACACACATCGTTCTTCCGCTTCACGATGAGCTTTCCGGTAACTCTGTTTTCGCGATTCTTCGATCTGTTTCTTCTCGCGATTAGGGATTTCATTGTACGGATTGTTCTTTGCTTCGCGTATCTGCTTGGATTGATTCTTGGTAATCTTTGAAGACTTCTCTTCGTTTATTGGATTGGTTTAGTTGTTGGATTGGAATCTTGGATTTCTAATTGATGTCGAGTCTTGGATCGCAATCGGAGCGTAATACAGGTGATCAGTATGAGAATCCATACTATTTGCATCATACTGATCATGCTGGCCTTGTTCTGGTTACGGATCGTTTGAACACTGCTTCTGAGTTTCATTCTTGGAGACGTTCTGTGCGTATGGGATTGAATGTGCGCAACAAATTGGGGTTTATTGATGGTACTATCCCTAAACCAGCATCTACACATCGTGATTATGGTGCTTGGTCTCGTTGCAATGATATGGTGGCGACGTGGTTGATGAATTCTGTATCCAAGAAGATTGGACAGAGCTTACTTTTCATCAATACTGCAGAAGGTATATGGAAGAATCTCTTGACTCGTTTTAAGCAGGATGATGCACCTAGAGTCTTTGATATTGAACAGAAGTTGAGCAAGATTGAGCAGGGTTCTATGGATGTTTCAACATATTACACAGAGCTTGTGACACTATGGGAAGAGCACAAGAATTATGTTGAACTTCCCATATGTACTTGTGGTAAATGTGAGTGCGATGCGGCTGCTCTTTGGGAGAAGTTACAAGAGCGTAGTAGAGTGACGAAGTTTCTTATGGGGCTCACAGAATCATATGATCAAACCCGGAGACACATCTTGATGCTGAAACCTATTCCTACTATAGAAGAGGCTTTCAACATTGTGACTCAAGATGAAAGGCAGCGTTCTATTAAACCTCAGACGCGTGTTGATAATGTTGCTTTCCAGAGTTCTGTTGATTCTGTGATTTCAAAGGAAGATGCTGCTTTTGTTGCTGCTTATGCTGCACGTCAATCTCAACGACCAGTTTGTACACATTGTGGTAAATCTGGACACACCATTCAGAAGTGTTTCAAGATTCATGGCTTTCCACCTGGTTATAAGACACATGGTTCTTATAAGAATCAGTCTCAGTCTAAACCTCAACAGGTGCAGTCTCAAGTTCAGATACCATCGACACAGGCTAATACTGCTCATGCGATTGCAAATGTGTATTCTGCTGCTAGTTCTCCTATGTCTGTTACGACTCCACATCTTACTACTGGTGGGAGTAACATCATGTTGCAGAACTTTACACCACAACAGATTCAAAGCCTCATTGCTCAGTTCAATTCACATGTTCGGGTTCCAGAGAGTTCAGTTCCTTCCTCATTGACTAATTCCAAAGCATCTATTACTGATCACGGTATCATGGCTACTACTTCTAACTCTGGTAACATACCCTTTCCTTCCATAAACCTTACCTATGCCAATAATCATTTGAAATTTCAAAACCATTGCCTTTCTACTTTACCTTCTTTAATACCACATGATGCTTGGATAATAGATAGTGGAGCTTCTAGTCATGTTTGTTCTGATAGACGACTATTCTCTGCATTAACTCCAGTATCTCATGTTTCAGTTACACTTCCTGATGGTAGTAAGATTCCTATAACTCATACAGGAACAATTTTCATTACTGAACACTTGGTTTTATATGATGTTTTGCTTGTTCCTGATTTTCATTTTAACTTGATAAGTGTTAGTAGATTGGTGCAAAGTTTAACGTGTGCGGCTCATTTCTTTCCTCATGGTTGTTTTATTCAGGAACTTACTCGGGGATTGATGATTGGGAAGGGTAGCTTGCATCACAACTTGTTCATCTTAGACATTGCATCATCGTCTATTGCATTACCTCCATCTTCATCTTTGCTTGGTTCTTTATGTGGTTCTGTCTCGGTTGAAGAACATATATGGCATCGACGCTTAGGACATCCATCTTCATTGGTTTTACAAAAGCTAGCTCCTCTTTTACCGTCTTT